ATTAGCTTAGTTGTAAGAAGAGGGAGAAGGTAGTACTTTGGCCATAATTACGAAGACAGCGAAGAAGAAGATAGGTGGTGTATGGCTTGAGTTCCTTGTTGCAAGTGAAGAGGGAGTTTCAGAGCTTCACTTCCTTAATTTTTATTTTTTTTTTCTAGCCTTTAATTTTTATTTTTTAGCCTTTAACGAAATTTAATTTTTGCAGAAATTATAGCATCTCTAAGAATGGCCGCCACAGCAACAGCTGCTGCTCCATCAAAACGTCTGATTGCTATAATCACAGGTATATAACCTCAGATTTCATACAGATTTTTTTTTTTGGAAATGCCGGCTGGCCTGTTGCATAGGAAACAGTTGGACAACCAATCCCTCCACGATTCGTTTGTTCAAACTTCGATGGTAAATTCCCACTGGCAGAAGAATGAAACCTGCCATCTACTTGCTCATAAGCAGTTCTTGAAAAAAGGGGAAAAAAGCGAAAAAAAAGGAAAGAAAGTATAAAATGAAAATTAGAAAATTTGTGAGATTATTTAAATGGTAAGAGAAGTGTTTCGGTCCATTAATTCGTATGCATTTCTTACCGTTACCACATTTCCGTTAAGTTGAAATCAGTACAAAGTGATTTCAAATACCCTCCTTTTTCATGATTTTGTTTCCCTAAATTGAGGGAGTACTTCAGGTGCCAGTTCTGGAATTGGTGCAGCAACAGCGGAATTTTTTGCCAAAAAAGGCTATATTTTATCGTTGAGTGGTCGAAATGAAAAAGCGCTCGAAGCAACTGCCGCCAAATGTGCCACTGCAGGAATGAGCAGAGATTCGGTACGTTTGTTTTTTTTTTTCTGCATTTTTGTGTACCGTTTTCATTTTATGTGTATGCGGATTGACCTAGTAACTTGTCGTGGAGGAGTACGAATGCGGAGGCCATAGGACTGTACTGAATGAGAAAGCAGCTGAAAAACCAGATCATGAATTAACAACTTACCATCTATTCCAAGTTTTCACGTATATGTCAAGTAGACTAGACTACATGGCATTGTTTGGCAGCTGCAAATAGCTTCTACCCTCTATACTTCTTGTCACCGCCCCCCTAAAATTTCAGAATCCAAGCTTTTTTGGTTCCCGAGTTAGTGATTTTCCCACCAAAACTTT